GCCAGATGGTCTTCGGCGCGGGCTGGCGGCAGGACCGCTCGGTGTACGAGCTGCTGCACCAGCTGCTGATCGGCGAGCTCTCGCCGGCCCCGCGTCGCGCCGCCCGCCGTGCGGGGAGGTTTCGGCGGCCCTCGGCGGCCCTCCGCCGCGGCCCTCCTCGGCGAGGCCTTCGGCGGCCCTGGGCGAGGCCTTCGGCCGCCTTTGGCGGCCTTCGGCGGCCCTTGGCGGCCCGTGGTGGCCATCGGCGAGGCCCTCGGCGGCTGCCGAGCGGCGGGAGCTCGGCCCGGCCAGTGCCGCCCGCGGTCTGGTCGTCCTCGCCTTTTTCCCCGTCGTCGTCGACGGTGGCGGGTCATCCTTTCGTGCGCTTCTCCACCTCCTCCCTCCTCCTTCTCGTTTCTTCCCCCCGTTCTGGCGCCTGGCCAGTAGGATTGCCGTCGCGCTATGTGCACTCTTTCTCCTTTATTCACCTCAGTTCAGAGCGTTCTCTGGGGTCATGCCTGCATCCGGCGACCTCTTTCTCCTCCCTCCCCCTCATCCCCTCTTCCCGTCCTTCCCACCCACCCCGCCCGCGGGAGCGAGCGCGTGGGATGACGACGATGCCGAGGAGGAGAAGGAGGAGGAGGAGGACCAGTGTAAACCCAAGACCCACCACCGATATTTCATTAAACCCTCCCTCCAAGCTCCCTCGTCATAGGCCCCTACGAGGATTCATTTTCGCTGAGGGAAGTGCCCCGTTGGAAGACAACCCTTTGAAAATCCAGACCTGCGCTAGACACCACTCCTGGGACTTCAACGCCGCGAATCACGGTTACTGCTGCGTCTTAACGATCTTGAACCGTTCCAGGACGCCCTTCCTGGGATTTCAGCACCGCGAATCAACGTATATTGCGCAGTGGCAGTCCGACACCGTGCCAAAGCACCATTTCTTGACCGTTAAACAGCTGGCGAGTGCCACATTTGTAAAAGGAGCCACCCTGCATCGGTGAAGATCTCGCATTTTGTTGAACGACTGTGCGCGGCGTGAAGGCGAGAACGACGTGTTAAAAAAGTAACACCCTCCATCCGCGAAGTTCTCCAATCTTCTTAAGATGAATGTGCGCGGCGCTATGGCGAGAGCCACGTTTCGAGAAGAAACCGCCTCCATCAGTCAAATTCAGTGCAATTTTCGTAAGACGAGTGTGCGCGGCGCGCGGTGGCGCTCGGGCGAGAGGTACATTTTGAAGACGGCCCGTCCTCCATCCGTCAAGCTGTTATACACTTTACGACGAATGTGCGCGGCGCTATGGTGGGAGCCACATTTTGAAAAGGAGCCGCCCTTCATCCGTGACGCTGGTTGCAATGTTGAAGACGATTTTTTCGCGGGGCTACGACAAAAGCTACATTTTGAGAAGAAACCGCCTCCACTCGCGACACTCAATGCAACATTTTAGGACGAAGTTTGCGCGGCGCTAAGGCGAGAGCCACATTTTGAAAACGAGCCGTTCTCCATCGGAGGAACGCATTGCAACATTTTAAGACGAATGCGTGCGGCGCTAAGACAATAATCAGATGTTGAAAACGGCCCGCCCGCCATCCGTGAAGCTCTTGCAACTGTCCAGCTTGAGGATCATAAGTTGTGAGGAAGTCTCTGGCGAAACGCTGGATCCACCCTTCCGACACACTTCGGGGTCCGACAGACAAGACTTATCTCTCAGGAGCGAGGATATGGAGGAGGAGGGGGAGGAGGTGGTTGAAGCCGGCTGACGTAATGAGATGAGACATCACTGGCTCCAGCCGTTGGAGAAGCGGAGAGGCGCCACTGTACAAAGGTTTCGTTTCTTTGTCTTCTCTGGGCCGCCTTCTCCATATTGGCGTTGTATGCCGAAATTGCCCCCCTCCATTCTTCACTGAGCTGGCTTCCCAGTTGCCTCTGATGAGGTGGGCGAGGACGGCGAGGAGTGCTTTCGACAATTTGTTCGCCGTCTTTGGCACCCGGGAGGTCCGATGCGGGCCCCCGAGCGTCAAGCATCGACCTGGTGTGAAAAAGGACCTGATGGGCCAGGGGATGTGCTCGCCTTCCTCCCTCTCCGCTTCCCTCTCCCCGCCCGTCCGTCGTCGAGGACGTCGATGTTCGAGGATCCAGGATCGACTACTTTTTTTGGCTTTTTCGGTCTTCTGGGCCCCTCGAGGCTTCCAAGTGCCTCCAGAGGTTTCAGGGGCCTCTGGAGATTTTCGGGGGCTGCCAGGAGGAGGTCCTTGCCTCCCTCGCGCCCGTCGTGGCCACCCTCCACCGCCGTCTCATCTTCGTCGTTCACGTCGTTCTCTTCCGCCCTCGTCCCTCGACCCTTCCTTCGTTTCCCGCCCTCCCCCCGGCTCCGCTCCTCCTTCCTCCCCTTCCTGTCCCGTCATCCTCGCCAGTCCTTTCTTCACCATCCGCCTCCAGTGGCTGCGCCATCAGGCCCACAGCCGCCCCTGGGATTGGCATCCTGAGGTCCATGCCAGCTCGGCAGTGCGCCACGGG